TGTATGACATACCTGCCATTAATTGAACGTTGGGCAAATCGCTATTGATAAATCAAGCATCCTTTCTAATATGTTTCGGGTTTTCGATATATAAGCGCTTCTTTATATACATTTCCACAATTTTATTGTGGGCAGGCAACCCTGTCGGTGGGGGGATTCTGGATACCGTGGGTATACCTACCAACCATGGTAACATTGATGCAAACCGGTGTAGTAGAGGTGAAAGACTGGCCAAAGGTCAAATTTAAAAGAACATAGAGATTGGCATCGTAAAACAGAACTTTTGGTCAATCATCTTTCTTTTTACAGTTTGAATTGTTCATAGGTTCTTTTATCCACATGAAACCTATTCATTTTCATAAAAAGGGAGGCAAAAAGTCTGTCTATGTTACCAAATATGTGTTTATTCGTAGTCATTATGTTGTGTTATAGTGCCATGCACGTTTGGTGCAGTTCCCTTCACTATAGATAATTACTTCATGGTCAAAAGCTTTTTCCTCTGGAAAAGAGGTATAATAAGAACCAGTCTCGATACCGGTTTTTAAAAGTTTGAACTTTCATCCTATGCATTATAATGATACTTAGTTTATTGATCATTTATTAAATGCATGTTAGTGTATTTAAAACAGATTATTAAACTATACCTTAATAAAGGTGATTATGTGTCAATGATAAATACTATATGTTATGCTTGAAATACCCGACAAGGGCTCCTAACAATACAGGATTGTTCAAGTTCAATCAATAATCCCAATTGATCAGTCGTGTCCGTCTATTTTTTTATATTATAGTGCACATTGTCGAATTATCTGTTGAATTTAAACTTTTCAGTGTATATCTGTTGTCCTACATAGAAAAACAGCTGTTACATGGCTATGTATGTAACAGAAAAACATTGCTCGTGAAATCGATTATTGAATCAAATTCTGTGATATTTTTACCTTTCAAAAGGACTTATTTGGGATCTAGAAAACCTCAGTTGTACATTGCATCGGGGAATATTCCAGGATTTTCAATTAGAAAGTGAATATGAGCAAAAAGGACAAAGGCAATGTTTGTAAGTAAACGCTTATATTTTTCCTTTTTTTCCAATCGTATAAATGTTACTTTATTTGCAAGAAGATGTATATCTGATGAAAACAGTTTTATTTGTTGTAATATGTATATGGATCGTAAAGATATGCCTTATTTTTCACTTTGAACCCCGAAATGAACAGTTAAAAGTAAATTACTTTTTGTATGCTTCGTGTCTATCTAATATACTTTTCATGAATAATTTAATAAATTTACATCAACATTGAACAAATATAATGGAATGCATTTGAATCAACAAATATATGAACAGATCAAGAATGAAGATGAGGAATTAAAATGAATAATACCCTATATTTTTTTTGGGGGGGGGGGGGGGGGGGGGGGTAGGGGGGACAACATAAAAGGGACTCAAATAGAGATTTCAATTTCGATTATCTTTTACAAACTTAGTTTTTTTCTTAAATTATGTTGAATTTCCATAATAAACACTCGAGTGTTCCAGTTGTGTGCCAAGCAAGTACCAACATAGTTTATTGGAATGATTGGTGATTGTCTAACGTTCAGTGGAAAACATCACACGCGTATATTCCAGGTGTGATATTTGTGAATTTTAGTCAAACTGAAAGTATAAAAATGTCATAGTTATACAAAAAAAATAATGCATGATTGCCACGGGTATTTTACATTGAGAAACTATAGACCAAAAGATCGTACTTTAGTTTTATGAAATAAAGACGAATCGCCTCTTGATTTCCCTTAAACTAATAAACATGTTTACTTTGATTTAAATATACGTATTGACAGTAGATAAAATTTCATTAAATCGTCTTATCTTATTTATAATTTACAATGCTCATTTAAAATACGAGGAAGGTTTATTTGAACAAGTCACATAAATTAAATCCTAGTAGGTAACGGGAATATATTGTCTCGAGTTACCCAGTACAATAGAATCACTTAGCAGTTTAGACTAACTTGCGTAATGATCTTACTAAAGATTATACGATTGTTTGATAGGTGTAAAACTAGGAGATCAGCAGACCTAAATATTGACGCAGGTATATATATAAACATTCAACCAAAACGAATAAAATATGAATAAGATTTTTTCGAAACTTGTGAGATCAATTGTTCTTATAAAAAGAGAACTAGCGTACGGCCGTACTCTAGATAATGATTAAAAACTGTATAATTTTGAAACTCGATCTTATTTTTGCATCTCCCCCAAAAAATAAAAAAAAACGGAGCTAGAACCTGTATTCCCCTACCTCATTTCCCCAGCACATCGCCTATCATGATGCTGCTAAAATCTACATTCCACAGTACCTTTTGAAATGTTTAACCGTTTGATATTTGACCTTTTATACCTTACCATACAAAGCATGAATTTCGCTTATCATTGAAGACTGGGTACCTGTAGTTGCTTACAACCATTGTGGATAGTTGTCTCTTTCGCAATCACATCACATCTCAGTATAATATTTCTGAAGATGTCTTTTGGTTAATTTTGTCTTTGAATTGCTGTCTCATTGTCTTATTCCACACATCTTCTTTTGTTTATATCCCAATACGCGTCGGCGTCAACAGTTAGGTTCTGTTTGTGGTGAAAGTTGTTTTTAGAAATTAATAGCTTCGTTAAACCTTCTTGGAATTTTGAAACTTGGACAGAACCTTTTTCGTGATCAAAAGACAGTATGCAGGGTAAAATTTTGAAATTATTTTTTTTATTCATTATTCTATATTTTACTGATAAATGGTCTTAGTTGTTTTTTCAAAGTTAACATAAAGATTTAGTCTAAGGTTAAAGTTTTTCCCCAGACATCAATAAATTTGTCAAAACCTCATGAAATTTGGACAGAAGCTTCTTTGTGATCAAAAGACAGTATCCATATTTCCGTATTTTACTGACAAATGGACAATTTTACAGTCATGAAGAAAATCATACACACATTTAAAAAAATACCCAATAACTAAACAGGCAAACATTTTGATGCCAAATTCAATCTTAAAATTAAAATTGTTCTCGTTAAAAAATGAGATCTAGCAAATTACACAACTGTATAGATCTATAATGTTCTTAGTTTGGCCTGTTTAATGATTTTGATAGTCTTAAATTGTTGTCGTAATCATAAATTATGTGCGCGCGAATTAAACAGCCTGTGTCAGAAGTAAGCAATTTAATAGGAAGTAATAGTTCACGATAATTTATTTACCTTTGGTCACAAAATATTCAATACATACTACATACTACATAAATACCTGGGTACCTCGAATTCGTGTGCTTATACGTTTCGAATAAAGTTATTTTATCAGAAACTGTAACATCGGTGTATGAGGCTGTCGTAATCTTGTGGTCTTTGTTGGTTTGCTTTTCATTCTTTTTCGGGTATACTACACACCAAAGCCGCTATGTCTATATTATCAATAGTGATATTAGAATATTATAATAAAGTCTGGTAGAAGTTTTCATGTTCACAATTACGCATAAAAGATGTATCTGATTCTTGGCACCTAAGATAAAGGCAGATTTATAACTGTGTGGAAAAAATTAGATTTCTCGTTAAGTAAACTATCTTTAGTTCTAACGTGATATTAAAACAAATGTTTCCTCAGAGGATCTAATTTGTGAAGTTTCCAAAATACACGATAAAAGCTAAAAATACAATGCGACTTAAGATGCTGTATTAAATAACAGATACCAGAACTAGTTATAACAGATGGGAGAAAACACAAGGTCATAGTAGTTAGGGGGGATAACTGGCAGCAATAGAAACTTCAGAGGATTTAGATTTGGGAAAACAGGGTGGGGTGTAATAGTGATTAAATGCATTAGTTTTTGTTTCGATGAATATTAATATTTTTTCTGGAAAATGTCAACCACAGTGTCACACTGAGTAACTATATGACCACAGGTTCACACGAGTTTCCTTTTCCAAGCGCAACTGACATATGTGATCCCATGGAGTATACTCGGGGAAAGTAATTTGAAGAATTTTGGGACTTAAATACTGTCACAATTTTGATAAATATATTCGTATAGGGTCCGCAATATTTACCAAAGTTATGGAAACTTTATATAAAGTACCATTAGTAATAAGTGCTTTTGGAGAAGGTTTGTAATCCTCTGATCAAAGAGCGAGTACATTCATCGGATTGCAACCCCCAAAGCAGTAAATTTGTTAAGTGAAATGATCCAGCGATAGTAATGTCCACAAAGTTTAGCATTTGCTACTATTTATGTCGTGTTTGATATCAAAAGTAATTGATATTTGTATCAAGCAATAAGTGCAGTTTGTTATAGAAGTAAGATTTTTTTTAACTTTTTCAATTAATTTTATTAGAGACATTTGTTAGTTGTGTTATCGTGACTATATGAACAAGTTTTGGATTAAGATTAAGACGTGATGATACATACTGACAACAATGGTCATCAATTCATTTTACATGTCAAGGCACACACTTCATAAAGAGTAAAAAGTATCAATTAACACTTAATTAAATCTGCTTTCGATATGTTTCATTGCTTTGAAACAACTTGTGTATTTCTAAACGTTTCTAGGCATAGGTTTTAAAAGCGTTATTTTTGAAAGAAAATAGGAGTGTTGAACAATAGAGAGAACCTTGTAACGCACAGGTTCGCCCTGCAATCGACACACGAGTGGCGTTGGGTTGATGTATGTTTTGTGCACTACCTGTATATATGAGCTGCATCGGATAGAAATCGACCTTATGCAATGAATATCAATACATCTGTTAACTTAATTCGGGTTAAAAAATCTCTATGCAAAGTCTGTAACGGTTTGAAAATTGAGTTGACATAAGAATCCAACAAAACAGACATAAAATCATCTATTGTTTCGTATTTGAATGTTCCAAAACCAACCAAAGCATTATACATGAACATGTTTACGCCGCGTCGCGCACTTGCATAAGGTCGATTTAAAGAAGTGCTTATATACTTCGTATAAGAGATCAATTATTTTATTTCCAATAGAGGACCCATGATGGGCAAAATCAGTACAATGATTAATAAATTAAACACTTACAATATAGGTAATACAAAAGAAAAAACAGCTCAAACATGGAATATAATATGAGTTTATAATATAACCATATAAACCATAATTTTCAGTGTTCGTGTCTTGTTGACGTCGACCATTAAACTCGTTTCATGGCAAAAAAACAAAAGACCCGTAATACCTTATTAAACAGAATCTGTCAAAATAACTTGACAGGGTGGTTTTTTTTTTCGCTTGATAAATATACAATAAACCCATTTTAACCTAGGAACCCCCTTAAGCCTGGAAATCTTGTGATTGTCTATTCTATTTTGAATATCTAGCTGGGACCAATAGAACAATTTACTATCAGTCCCAGCTAAAATGATTGAGGAGATTTTGATAAAAATGTTTGGTACAATGGAAAATTTAGTGATTCTTCTTGGCTGCCATCGATACATGGGCGCGTTTTTTAGTTGACTCTGAGAATGTGTTTGTTTCACTAACCTTGGAAAAATTAAGCCCGCCGTAACTCTCCCCATTATGAGGCAGCAACTATGAGAAATGTATATACGGTTACCGGTCGAAATAAACAGAGGGTATACAGTATTTCACACGAACAAAATAGCTAGATAATTTGAATGTGAAATTTGCAGATTGTCAGTTTATATAAACAGAATAAAATATTCAGCATTTTCACAAGAGTAGTCTCTCTTTGATTGTAAACGTGAATGGAGGTTCGCCAGGTACTGTACCTGTCGACCTGTAATACAGCATAACGAACAACAGATAAAAAACTTTCACAGAGATTGTACTGATTAACAAGCTGAGAAGACAAATGAATCTATTAATAGAATCTGAATTAACAAAAATACCAGATATTTTATAATCTGCTACTATAGTTTTTCATCCTGTAACAGAGGTATTCTTAAAGATTATTGATTATGTAAAGGTGACATAAGAACTCGCAGTATAATTGTTTGAACTAGGCGTAATGATGAAATTTTATTTAGAGAGTCGCGATGAGTTAGATCAACTGCAGAAATCCAGACACTTTCAAAGATGGTTTCAATTCCCAAGAAAAGCCTTGAGGGCAGTGGTTAGTGAAGTTTACCTGTTCGCAAACATTTGCTTTCTATATAAAACGGACCATACATAGAACCTAAATATAATTTTACTAAGCTACTATCATAAGAAATGTCGATAGAGATAAAATTATGGTTGCTAACGAAAATGATATTGCAGTCGAAGACTAAAAAAATATAATTAGCCTGTTAAATTAAAGCACTTTATCTCTTGAAAAGTAAATCCTGCTATTTTACACTCAGATATCGGCGGTAGTACTTTAAAATATCCATACCATACGACAACGTCGACCTTGTGTGCAATATTAATGGTTAATCTGTGTACAAAATTAAAATATAAAAAAAAGTTTAACGTTTAGTATGAATAAATTAAATTGATGTAAAATATTTCGTCTGAAATTTAGCCGTACACATTTTGTTCTCCCCTCAGCAGGAGGCAATTCTGCATGCAACGACCTACATTACTCGGTCAACTGCATGCTCCATATAAAATATAAAAATATATTTTTTTGTTAATCGGCTTCCTTTGGGTTTGTAACACAGTTCACATGATTTATGGATGCTTGTATAGAATGACTACCTTGCAGATCAACTCATGCCGTGTATAAGTTAGTCATACAGGACAGTTTATATGTTTTTATTTTATACGTCTTTCTATGTGACAGCTCTTCGACGGGCATTCTTTATTGGATAACCACTAATTACATAGACTTAGTCTGAAATTTAGACCAACAATGTTAGATCTGTAACTTTGCGGTATCATACTGCTGGATGCGGTATCATAATCCTCAATGGGATTTGAACCCATTATGATATCAATAGTTATACAGGACTAACACCATCATAATCATATACTTCTGAAATTACGCCCAACAATGTAAAGCCCTGTGCACATGGTGAAAATGTACACGTGCATATTAACAGGGGTAAATTTGCCTATGTATGTAAATATACAATGCGACCACAAGGTTTTAAAACCAGGGATGTATTTGTTTTAATAAGAAGTATTTTTTTTTTAAAATTGAACTTGATCATTGAATCAAGTGATATCCAAGTCTAATGTTCAAAATCGACAGTGCCTCCCCTTTATATAGCGGCAGGTGTATCTATAGGGTCATCCAAATGCGGATCCAGTATTTTACAAAACGAACTCATCAAGGCAACGTTAGGAGTGGGACATGAAAATAGTCAATGCTTTAACCATATATGTAGCTTCTCTGTATCGCACAAAAGCATTTTTCACGTGGGAGCGCTTTCTTTACTCACTAATGATATTTAAATGCTTTTGAATTTTTTGGGTAAATTGAAATATTCATTAAGTACTATACAATGAGCCCCATAACTCGGAATGGGGCCTCAAGGCGATATATATAGTTTTCAAGAAGTGGACATTTGATACTATACATTTCAGCATTAATTGTTCTTTTACTGGAAGGTACTAAATCCACCTTTACCGTTGGATCTTCCTACGTTTGAATTGGTGCACAACCTCTGTGTCCTGTTTTCACAATTTCCTTCAGTTAGTCATGAATAAGGCCCAAAATGTGAAACGATTCAACGAAGAAAAACCAACGACCTGAAATATGATAAAACAACATAGACACAAAATAATATAGACACAAAACAACATTGACCTTTTGATCGAGCTAAGCCATTTCAATTGATATTTTATTGTGTGTCTTTTTATGTTGTAATGTTACACCTTTGTCTCAGGTTAGGGTGAAGGTTGGCGCCTGTTAAAACGTTTAAACCCGCTGCATTTTTATGCATCTGTTCTAAGTCAGGAGCCTGTTGATCTGTGGTTGTTGTTTGTTTGTATGGTTCATAAGTGTTTCTCGTTTCTCGTTTTTTATATAGATTAGACCGTTGGTTTTCCTGTTTGAATTGTTTTACACTAGTCATTTTGGACCCTTTATAGCTTGCTGTTCGGTGTGAGCCAAGGCTTCGTATTGAAGGCCATACTTTGACCCATAATTGTTCACTTTTTACACATTGTGACTTGGATGATTAGTTGTCTCATTGGCACTCATACCACATCTTCTTATTTATATCTACAACTGAACGACGCAAACCTAATTGGAATTATAGAGATACTATCTCGTGGATTAATCTTATAGTTTGGTACTTTGAATAATTTGAAATAACAACGTCACCTCGTGGACATACAGCACATTTAATTTAGAGGATCTCAAGTAACCACGTGACCTTCAATGATAGGTAGTTAAGCATCCAAAGTATATGGAAACTTATAATATCCGTGTTTCAGTCTCATTACAGGCATCTTCAATAGACAAGAAATCTTGCTTAGCAAACAGATGCATTCCGTGTGCCTAGTCAGTAGTTGTCGGCTTTTAGCTTAATTTAAATCTTTTTGTCATTTTTTTTTTATAATTGGTGCTGATGGCAGATTTTGACATCCTCTATTAAGTTTAATCAGAACTTTTCCAGAATCGGCGATTTACAGCATGTGTAGACACTTGTATAATGTTGAAGATCATATGTTGATCTCTACGACGTGTTTTGGTTTTTGTGTCGCTGGTTTTCTGTCTGAAAATAAAGACATATACACTGCTTCTTAAATATTCATTCATGAATTGGCCCGATAACACAGTTATTTCGTAGTGCATTTCTTTTAGACAAAAAACGCAAATTAAAAAAATCGCACCTGCTCTATCCAAAAAAGATATAGTGTAGTGTACTACTTTTGGGACAAAGTATATCAAAATTATTAAAAAGTCTATCGGCTCTAACTCAAAATATGGACAATTTTAATTCAAGGGGGTCTGTAATTCAGTTTGACAGCTTCAGACATACTAATGTTTGACCTTTTCAAACTGGACCAAATCACTACTTTACCTAAACATTCTTGCCCTCATTTTTTTTTTACATGTAATTTCATTCCCCTTCTTACTATAAAGAAATAAATTTGGAAGGTGTATGAAAAAAAATTACAAGTTATACCCAGTCTGTCCACACTAGGGACTCAATTTGTACAAAATCAAAGGACGATAACTGTGTCCCGGGCCAATTGCTTAGACTCGTGACAAGTTAAAATTAATTTTGAAAAGACGACCGAAAATCGAACTATATAAATAAAAAACAAAATCTATATCTGACAGGTTTGTTATATATTGTTTGTAACAATACAAATGCAGATTTAATTTTATTAAAAAAAAAAGGGCACACACGTAGATATTAAACATATTTTCGAAATAATCCTTTGTGCTTTACATTAGACAAGCATAACATACCTTTACAGGTGCCTCCTATGTGCTTTGTTATCAATTTGTCATTTACCTGAAAAAATATTCAAATATTAAATTTCGACATATGTTGTTCATAGGTAACGATAAAATGATGATATATCCGTCTATACACAAATCTTACAAGTGATTTTCTCGTCTAAAATTAGAAATAATGACTAAATCAGAAATACGGTGAATGAAACAACTGTCCCAAAACACGCCATGCGTATTTTTTCAAATCCCGGCGACACTCATGCGTAAACTTTCGAAAATTAGGCCAATTTGAATGGTAAACAAAATATCTTAAACTTAAATTACACATAGTGGTTCGCATCTTATTACAAAAAGACCATCCTAAGGCAGGCAGGACAAACGTCTTGGAATGGAAGAGTGAATAATTTGACTTGTTAGCTGTCAATCACAGTGGGAATATACATTTATTTCTTTAGTACGCAGTAATTTATCATTATATATAGTGCGTTTAAAACATTAAGCGTGAATTCTACCATGTGTACACTAAATTTGGAAACAAATAATGGGAATATAGACTAAAAATATTTAAATGTACTTTGTTTGAATGGATTGAAATGCACTCGCATGGATCAGATTTCGTGTGTACACAACAATGAGTCTTTAGGATAGTTTAAGGAGTTTTAGTGTGTGACAAATTCTAGGTAATCTGATATTTTGAATAAAAATGGATTTCTTCTTTGACTTGTTTGATTCTGAAAAGAAAAGAAAAGCACAGCTTCAACAACAACAACAAAACCAAGAACACATTAGGAATAGAACTGGGAGTGGAGGAGAACTACCCCCTCTAAGGAGAGACAGGGGTTATAGAACTTTTAGTTTAAGAAAGTATGACCAGCGTGAAACCAATAGAATTCGTGATGAACGTTTGAAACGAGAACTCCATCGACTTTACTTATGGGACAGTAAGTTCAAAACTCTATACTTCATAAATATACATATAAAATTAGGTTAGTTCATACGCTTCTTTAATTATTTCTCTCTGTACTACACACGTTATAATCATTTTGTACTTTCAAACTGCACACATCTGGTTGTTAGATATCAAGATACACGTGAAAAAGATAAACACAGAACGGTATGGAAACGGCACTTTTTCATGAAGTAATCAACAATTAAAATAGTTTGTCAACATTACAAATATCTGCATATTCATTTCAAAATCTATTGTACATACGTATCGTAATGGTATGAGTATTTAGATAAATGAGGGGGTTCGGGGGTATATTGGTTAAAGACAAGAATTAAATATCTTCTTAAAATATATATAATTACAATTTATCTAAAAAAAAGCTCAAAACATTTACCTCTTTTATTGATCATGTTGATAAGATTTATTTTAATCAACAAAATATATTCTGATGTAAAGCTACCTGCATCATGTGAATGGTCAAAATACAGTCACTAACTCATTATTATGCTTAGCATCTTCAGATAATGTTGTCATTTGTACTACTGTCCTACGGCGATGTACATAATGTGTATCTATTCAAATGTCATCCTTTTGTGGTGTATGTCCCATCATTGCGACTCATTAGGAAAGATTTCATTGTTAAGTTTCTAATTTTAGCTCACATGTCCACAGGTGAAATAAATAGGATAAAAATGACCAAGGAGAATATCAGCCCATTGTCATTTACTAAAACAGAATACTCAAAACCAAGAAAACTCATTTTGAAAGAACATCTCTGCTGTTTTTTCCTCAACATATTTAATGTTAATTGCCTAATGTCCAGTAGCAAATATATCATGTATATTGAGAACAAGAACAATTTAATAACAAAATAAAATAAAAGGTAGCTTCTACAGAGAGGGTCCACAGAAATGAATGGCGATACATTTGGACTGCTACTAGAAAAAAAGGGATATAATGGAAAATACTAATTTTGCCTTGCAACAGGCCACCTTTAGACCTGATCAAATAGTTGTTGCAAAGGGCACAGTAAAACATACACGTGGCGCTCCAAAGGTCCAATAACACATACACGTGGCGATCCTAAGATCCAATAAACATACACGAGGCGCTCGTCCTATATTGGGCATCGGATGTAAAGTCCCCGTTCCGACCACTCATCGCTGTGTAATTATACCTCCCACTTTGAAATTATTATCATGGTCCATTAATGACCGTTAGACTATCTTGATTAGATGAGGTTCACGGCTACTATTACTATATTTGAGGGTGTCTATATTTGATCTAAATAATTAGCTTAAGGGGTACTTTTATGTTTGATAAGAGACATCTGACCTCTATTTCATGCCTCATTGATCAATATTTAATTTTCTTGATTTGATGTACTTTTTAGTTACGTTGAGTAATAGATCAACTTTATTTATATAATCATTGTTAAGTAGTATATACTATATATATTTCTGTCTGACATGGTGCACTTGACCTTGGTCTCGTATTTAGTGTGCATTGATCAAGTTTTTGTAATTAGGTCAGTTATTCGGTTACTATAAGTAAAAGATGAAGTATACGGTCGATCTGACAGGATAAGCACCTAGACTTGACCTCATTTTCATGGTTCGTTAATAAATGTTTAGCTTCCGTGTTCAGGTTAGTGTACCAGTTTATAAGAAAAAGGCTTCACTCATATTTGGTCTTAATAATCTTTGTAAGACATATATGACTTGTATGACCTTGATCTCATTTTCAGGGTTCATCGACCAACGTAATGTGTTCGCTTCTAGGTCAGTTTTTAATAAGTGCTCGTAAAAGGTCGACTATATACCGGGTATTCGGTTTATAGAATCATTGCAAACTATATTTGTTCGTCTATTTTCCACGACATAACTGACATAACTGCTATTTCAAAGTTTAAAATAGAGAAATATTGAGAAAAATTGTCAAACATCAGAAAGCTATTCTGGTATTTAAATCTTTAAATGGAATTACACCTCCTTTATATTTAGAAGAAAAATTTTCAATATGTAAATATTCGAAAATAATCGGCTGTGTTCAATTAACAATACCAATTTACACCTGCCAAAACTAAATTTAATGAAGAAAATATTAATGTATTCAGGTACACAAATATGGAATTATTTGCCATCAAAAGGAAAAGATTCCAAATCATTGAAACAGTTTCGAGATGAATAGTATAATTTCCGTTTTAACGAACAGTCCTTGAATACTGCAAGTTTGTTTGTTGAATAAAATTGAGAATGGAAATGGGGAATGTGTCAAAGAGACAACAACCCGACCAAAGAGCAGAAAACAGCCGAAGGCCACCAATAAAAACAGATAAAAAATGTTATTGGTCGTGACCTTGAGCAGCTGAACGAATGGTCAAGAAGGTGGCTTATGTCTTTTAATCCAGACAAAACAGAAATAATGATTTTTTCAAATAATGACGCTCCAGATCTAAAATTCTGCTTAAATAACAAAGAAATTCCTATTACAAAATGTCACAAACACCTTGGGGTAACGTTTTGCTCTGATGCTCGGTGGAAAAGCCATATAGACAATTTGATTATTAGTGTAACGAAACATTTAAATATACTGAGAAAACTCAAGTATCAACTTTGTAGGAAAAACTTAGAAAAACTCTATATAGTATTTATAAGACCAATTTTTATACGACCGCAAAAAAATTTTGCGGTCGTATATTGGTATGACGTTGGCGTCGTCGTCGTCGTCCGGCGTCGTCCGAAGACACATTGGTTTTCGCACTCTAACTTTAGTTTAAGTGAATGGATCTCTATGAAATTTTACCATAAGGTTCAATACCACAAAAGGAAGGTTGGAATTGATTTTGGGGGTTATGGTACCAACAGTTAAGGAATTAGGGGCCAAAAAGGGGCCAAAAATAAGCATTTTTGTAACTTCCAGACATAACTTGTGTGTTAGTGTATGGATCTCTCTGACATTGTACCACAAGGTTCCATATCACACAGGGAATGCTGGGATTGATTTTGGGGGTAATTGCCTCAAAATTTTAGGAATTAGGGGCAAAAAAAAGGGGCAAAAAACAAGCATTTTTCTAGTTTCATGACAATAACTTGTGTGTAAGTGTATGGATCTTTCTGAAATTGTGCTACAAGGTTCCATATCACAAAGGGAAAGCTGGAATTGAGTTTGCGGGTAATTGCCCAAAACGTTTAGGAATAAGGGGCAAAAAAGGGGCCAAAAATAAGCATTTTTCTAGTTTCCAGACAATAACTTGTGTTCAAGTGTATGGATCTCTCTAAAATTGTACTGCAAGGTACCATACCACAAAGGGAAGGCTGGGATTGAGTTTGGGGGTGATGAATCATAAGGGGGTTCAAAAAATTGGGGGGGGGGGAATTTTTTTTTTTTCCTTTTTTTTTCTTTTAAAATTTTCCATTTTAAGTTGGTTATTTCTGTTTTATATTTAAAAGCAAATAATAATGATATGGTAGGAGATACACACCAAACAGGATGTGTAAATTATTATATAATAAGTATTGTGCAATAGCAAGAAATTTTCAATTGCACAGTATTGAACAATAGCAAGAAATCTTCAATTGCACAGTATTGCGCAATAGCAAGAAATCTTCAATTGCACAGTATTGTGCAATAGCAAGAAATATCCAATAGCACAATATTGTGCAATACCAAGAAATTGTCAATTGTACAGTATTGCTCAATTGCAAGAAATATTCAATTGCACAGTATTGTGCAAAAGAAGATACTTGGTATAAATTGCTTATTTCTTGACCAATTTCAATGGGGTTTTATTCTTGAATTCTTGGGGTTCTTTAATATGCTGATCCTAACCGTGTATTAAGTTTTTGGATTTTGGGCCCCGTTCTTAAATTGGTCCACATTGATGTCCAAAGGGTCCAAAATTAAACTTTGTTTGATTTCATCAAAAATTGAATTATTGGGGTTCTTTGATATGCCGAATCTAACTGTGTATTTAGTTTCTTAATTTTTGGTTCCGTTTTCAAATTGGTCTACATTAAGGTCCAAAGGGTCCAAAATTAAACTTAGTTTGATTTTAACAAAAATTGAATTCTTAGGGTTCTTTGATATGCTGAATCTAAACATGTATTTAGATTTTTGATTATGGGCCCAGTTTTCAAGTTGGTCCAAATCGGGGTCCAAAATAAAACTTTGTTTGATTTCAACAAAAATTGAATGTATGGGGTTCTTTGATATGCTGAATCTAACCATGTATTTAGATTTTTGATTTTTGGGCCCCATTATCAACTTTGTCCACATTGAGGTCAAAAGGGTCCAAAATTAAACTTTGTTTGATTTCATTAAAAATTGAATTTTTGGGGTTCTTTGGTATGCTGAATCTAACCATGTATTTAGATTTTGGATATTGGACCATAATAGGTGAATGTCCAATTTAAAATTTTTAAGTTCTTAGACCACATTCATTCTGTGTCAGAAACCTATGCTGTGTCAAATATTTAATCACAATCCAAATTCAGAGCTGTATCAAGCTTGAATGTTGTGTCCATACTTGCCCCAACTGTTCAGGGTTCGACCTCTGCGGTCGTATCAAGCTGCGCCCTGCGGAGCATTTTATTGAATATGCAACTGAGGTTTGGGATAATTGTGGGATAGGATATGCTATTAAACTTGAAAGTCTGCCGCTAGAAGCTGCTAGAATAGTTACTGGTTTGCCTATATTTACAAAATCTGAAAATCTGTATGAGGAAGTTGGGTGGGAAACTTTAGCTGACAGGAGGAAAAGACGAAAATTACAAATGTTTTATAACATTCAATACAAACATGCTCCGGATTATCTATGTAATCTAGTTCCACCCAGTGTACAGAGCACAACTGTATATCCCTTGCGAAATGGCAATGCTATTATTGTTCCCTTTTGTAGATTATCCCTTACTAAAGAATCTTTTATACCATCAACTATTAGACTATGGAATCATACCGATTTGTCCCTTCGAAAATCAGACTCTATCTCAA